AAGATTGGAATTGAGCTTTTTTTTTACAGCCTCGCAAAAGTTCAAAAATATGAGCTTTTTTAATTTTCTCAAAAAATATTTAACTTACAAAAAAAAGTTTCGTACAAAAGTTGTTTAAAAGACAATTATAAACAAAAAAATTATCTTATATTTTTTCATTTAAACAAATATTTTTCGAGTTACATTACATTTAATATGAGTACTATAATTTATATTCCATTTTTTTCATTTTACGGTTACTCTTTATCATGTTATACTTACATTAGACACAATGTTATAAATGCATATGTGTGTATGTGTGAGTTTATTTATTTATTGTATCATAAAAGTGTAGTGTATATTAATATACAACCGATAGAGTTGGTAACAGGGGCGGATCCAGAATTTATTCCAGGGGGGGCGTCATTAGATACATATTTTTCTTTTAAGAACTGATTTATTATTTTGTGTTTATTACATTTCTATTTTTAAAAATTCGTTTAATGTTTGTAGCATAATAATTTTTTTAATTACAATAGTATATGTTTTTTGATGACTTTAAGGACATAGGTATATAAAAATAAACTCGTTAATCAAAATTAATTGCATATGAAGAACTTCATTTGAAATTAAATGCTATTTACCAATTAAAATCAAAATATACATTTCTTACAATATTATAGCTTAACACCTAAGTTTGTAACAAATACTGTTAAAATAATTAAAGAATAAAATCTAATTTTCTTTTTTTGTCAATGATATTTTTGATATTATTATGAATACTAATATTTTTGTGAATATACAACAAAGCAAGACCTGTTAATCTATCTGCACTCATTTTGGACCTTAACCATGTTTTAAGCAATCATTAAAATTTAAAATAAAAAATACACNTGTTTTAAGCAATCATTAAAATTTTAAATAAAAAATACACGTAGCGTGTTCTATAAATAACACAATTTAGAGTTATAATACAGTAGGTCAGTATATATATATATTCTATTATTGATGTTATTTCGATAAAGCAATGGGTGTTCCTACACAATTCGCATGCACTTATTATTTTTAAATTTTTATATACCATGTCCTAATTAAAGGTATTTTTATTTAATCAGTAAGCCAGTAGCTGAGGAGGGGCGCGCGCCCCCCTCTGGATCCGCGCGTGTAGGTAATTGATTTGACGCTATATTGTTTAGAACCAACTAAACGTTAAATTGTACATTCCCAAACAACAATCATATTATGTATGTCAATTGCCACCGGAATTTCTGGTAATCTTTTTCTTTGCCTTAATCCTAACTACTTGGAGTCGGCCACCTACATCCCAAACTTCCACTTGACACGATCTCCCACATAATCTACGCTCACATCAGCTGTCCTCATATCGCATTCAATAGCATCCCTCCATCTCTTTTTTGGGCTTCCTCTACCTCTTCTTCCTTCAACATTANGGGCTTCCTCTACCTCTTCTTCCTTCAACATTAATTTCTATAACTGTTCTTACAGCTTCCAATTCTTCTCTCCTCATAACATGACTAAACAATCTAAGTCTATTTTCTGTCATCTTATCCACGATTGACGCAACACTTATACTTCCTCTTATATGCTCGTTCCTTATCTTATCTTGTCTAGTCACTCCACTCATCCAACTAAGCATTCTCATCTCTGCTACGCTTATTCTCTGCTCTACTTTCTTATCAACCACCCAACACTATGAACCATACATCATATCTGGCCTTACAACTTCATACTAAATTTAAAAACTATAATTAGTATTTATTCATATATTATATTTTAAAATCAAAAAACTACTAATCAGGATATAATTAAAGAAATAAAGTTGATGTTGCTTTTGGAATAATCCACCAATTTCTCTAAATGAAACGCTATCTACAGATTTGCATCGAAACGTTTCTTATGATAGTGATTTTAATTACTGTCAGTTATCATCTATGACTCGATCCCACTGTGCTATCGTTTTATTAACTGATATCATTTAATGTGTTACAATGGAACATTCGTAACATCATACTTCACGTACATGATCTCTTTTCTTCTATCCAAACATAAATGCTCTTTTGCTCTATTATCTAAAACCTGGCTATTACCCAATCGCTCCTTTTCCATTAATCTCTTTAGTTTAATTCGTTCTGTTAGACCGGACGGTTAAATTGGTGTTACCATAGCCGCTCACCGCTCTATTCAAATTACTCCCACTATAATTAATTAATCTCATTAACTCCTTACGTCTTCTATTAGTCTTGTTAGCGTTGCCATCTTCTCTAACTACTTCTCCACCATCTGCCTCTGATCTATATTTATTCCTCCGTCTGCCAACCCTTCTCCTACACTTATTAATTCCATTTTTAATCTATTCTCCTCGAATTCTATTGTAGGAGGTGATTTTAAAGGTTACCATACAGCGTGAGGTTCTTCTAATAGTAATTATAGAGGAAATTAAATATTTTCATCTACTTGCTCGTCTAATCTTTCTTTAATCAATGACGGCTCTCCTACCCTAGCCAATCGTTTACCTTATGCAGATACTGCAGTCGATATCACTATAACATCTCCTCCATTATCTTGACATCTTTCTTGATTTTGTATATAGAAGTAACCACTTTCCTATTGTAATATCTCACTCATTTTCCTCTCCCAATCTTGTTACCGATACCCACCACTAACCTACTTCTCCTACAATTAACTACCGTTTTGTCAGCTAGGACTTATTTTCAATTTACATAACTGCTATCTTGTTAAATTTTTCTTTTACTTCTTGCCTTTTGTCCGACTACTACTCTTTCGTCTCTCTACTTAATAATGCTGCTAATACCTCACTTCCACCAAAAAAGCGTATCCTTCCTCTCTCCTACCTGTACAAATGCGATAAAAACACGCTTCCAAGCATTTCACTTATATAGATCCTCTTGTTTTACTTCAGACTTTTTATCCTATTAACGTATTTGCTATATCACCAGTAACACGATAAAAAAAGCAAAAAAAGATTCTTGGCATTCATTTTGTTCGTCTCTTAATCCCTCTTCTTCTGTTCTTAATTTGTGGTTTACTGCCAAAAAAATTAAACATGGTGTTAATCGTCAATGAACTCCTCTCTCAATGATTCATGGTTCCTCCTTCTATAAGAAAGTTACTCCTCTCTATGTACCTTTATTTAATGAATCTATCCCCTCTCCCATTCTATCCCCTATACGTTCAATGCTGCTTCTCGCCCACTAACAAAGCCTTTTACTGCTATATAGTGACACGGCACCGCCTTTTGCTCTAGGCTGGCGCTCACCCGTGTCTCTCTCGATATCAGCCGTCCAGCTATTAATATGACAATCGGTTGTCATCGGTCGTCTCCCCGCCCTTGACACTGAGATAAGGCCGCCGCCGAATATGGATTACCGATATTGCGTTCTGTTCCGTTTTCGACGTACACCGTAACTGGTTAGTTTTTGGAATGTACCTTTTTCGCCGTTTTTTTAAGTTTGTGTTCGGGTGCGACTTGGAAAAATCGCAGTTTACCTATGCCTTATATAACTGTGGAAATTGTTTAAAATAAAACAAAACAACCAATTACGACAATTGTAATTGACTCGCGTAATACTGAATTAATTTGCTCGCGTTGTTGCGAGGTCTTTTCCTCGTTATAGTTATTGTAAGACTATACTTATAATATTAGATATATATATAGTGCTAGTGCGTGCATATTGGATTACGTATTAATAGTCTCAATTGCCATTTACTCGCATTCTTCATCTGCTTCTGTCCTAAATGGCATTTCTCCTTCAACTTGGTCAAGATATCCTTCTCAACATTCTTAATTCTTTGTGATTTATTTGCTTAATTCCCTCCTATTGGAAGACTTCCACGTTATCCTTACTATGATGTGTTTTTTATTGTTTTTATTTTTGTATCTATTACTACTACTTTTTTTCAGCTCTCACTGGACCGATTATCATGAACAATATGTTAAAAGATCATTAATCGTATCTAATTGAAGACATTGCCCTTAAAAATTAAAAAAATTTACCTCGTTCCCCGTAAATAGTTAAAATCACCCAAAAAATCAGCATTTTTAAAATCGGTAAATTTCGACATTAAGCTTTAATGTAAAGATGAGAAGGTATTAATTTTACCATGTGTTTATTTTATTTTTTTATAAGAGGAGTAAACTGATTTTTATGAATATTATATACATTTAATTGACAATAATTAAAATTTAGAATATAAAGTTAAACGTATAGCACTTGAACAATCATATTTTGTCATGTAGCCTCTAAGAGCTTCATCAACATTACTTGAACCCAATACTAATAATCCTCCTTGTCTTCCTCGTACCCACAGCAAATAAATATGTTAAAACCATTCGAAGTCTGGCTTGTACATTCTGTAATGCTAATGATTCTCGTGGAGAACCTCCATTTACAGCAAACTTGGAGTTTTGTTTGTTAATCCTACAAAAATGGATATTACTGCATACATTTTATGTAGTAGTACATTTATACATGTAAAATGTATAAATGTATGGATCAATACAATTTTTTTATGAGAAATACTATTTATATATCTCTTTCATTCGACATACTATTTTTTTAAATTTCCCTTTATATAGAGGTAGTTTAAAACTTAAAATGCGTATAAAAAGTAGAACTTTTTCAACTTATTTTTAATTAAAATATCTTTATTATAAACAAATTATATATTAGGTATATTATATATTTTAACACGCTTATATTAGTTTCACGTGTATGTTTGTTGTTTGTTGTTTGTTTGTCGTTTGTAAGTTTGTAACTTCACGCGGCACGTGTTATTTTGTCGCGTATCCCGTCGTGTATGACCTTGAGACTTACTGTTGNTTTGTAGACTAATTTCAACATTGATGGTGCGCTTAAGAACCTCCAAGTTTACCCTTATATTTGCCTGTTTTCATCTCTTTCAGTAAACACCACTTAAACTAAATTAATTTGACTATAGATTATTTCAAAACATATCTCTGAATAATAACACTACAAATATTAAATTAACATCATATTGAGATTTTATTTATAAGAACTTTATTCATTAATAAAATTTTTAATACTATTTTAGAATTTTTTACATTTTAATTTCAACAAGTTATTAAAAGTAGGGTTTCAAAATAAAGTCTATCAGTCATAAAAAAGCTTTTCACAAGAAATACTATAAAAATAAACTAATAAGTATAATTACGACATGAAAATCATGCAAAAATAAAAATCATTAAAAGTTAAAAAAAAAATTATTATTGGTTATACTTGTCTAAAGCATAACTTATGTCTTCTGGGCTAACATTGAGTGAAACCTTTCGAAAAACATCCCACTGTTTTTTTTCTAGAAAAATTAAACCGTTGTCTCTTAATCTATATGTCATCATAATAATTTGTTGATCATTAGGTAATTCTTCACCTATTAAAAATTAATTAGTTAAAAAAAACGTTTTGTGATAATCCAATGTTAATTTTTATACCTTCTAATAAACAAATGTTCTTCATTTGTGTGTATACTGAATCAATTGTACTATGATCAAAACCAGTTCTAACTGTTTCATCACGGAGTGCTCTTAAAAAATACTGTTCAAATAGACTACATTGTCTAAAAAAAAATTTGCAAACGAATAAGAAAATTAATAAAGCAGTATAATAATTTAGATATCATATTGATGATACTCTTAATTCTGATATTTATATATATATTTTTTTTTTATGTTAAATTCACAACATATTAATTTAATAGAGATTTATAACATGCATATATATTAATAAATTAATATTTTTATTCAATCTCACAAATTTTGGTTACAACTTGTTTCTAACCAATAAAGGTTAAAAATATTAGTGTATATTATTTATTATGATTAAAAATTATATCAGAACTTAAAGTAAGGGGGGCACAAGAAAACTCAGTTTCCTAATCTTTAGCAAAACTGAAATGGTCAACAAGCATATCCTTTTAAAATATAATTAAAATGTTTGAAATTTTATCAATTGATGGATATATTTGGTCTTTCTATGTTTTATGATTCTTTAAGCCCAGATATATATAAATATACAATTAAGGTGTGCACCATATAGGTGTGTAGCTTGTTTAAATACTTACTTTTACTTAGCATAACTTTAAACCTAAAGAAAGCTTCCTTCAGACTCAAGCTACCACATTCCTTTAACTTGCCCTTCTACCTCTAAAAATTAAGTATATTCGGGAGGCTACATTAGTTTTTATGAAGACTTAAGCTCTTAATGCTCTCATGTAAACATTGCTAATGATTGCCCCTGTCAAAATATACTAGATCTACATTGATTGCTTTCAGTTTATTTTCACAGATTCGAAATGAAAAAAATCATAGAATTTTCTAGAGAACGTACTTATACTTATAAATATTAATGGCAACTTTGGTTAAATTATTTTATTTATAAATATTTAATAATAAATATAAGTCACCCAATAAATAAATTGGTACAGTATTAAAACTAAATTTTTATTTTCATTTACATGCTTTAATTTTAATTAACACACAAAATAACAGAAATTTTATTTATATTTGTTTGTCATTCCATTTGATTGTACTAAATAACATATTGTTGAAAATCAAACTGTACCAAGTATTTCAAGCCCAAAGTATCATGATTAATTGTATAACAATTTAAAAATGATAATAATTGCAGTAATTTCCAAAATGCTAACTCATGCTATACCTAACTAAAATATAATTTTAACCACTTTAAATTGCTTAACTTATTATTATTACCTTATTGCTGTCACGCGAAGACCAGATAAAATTGAATTTATAACTTGATTGACATGATTAATTGTTATCATTTGAGATTCATCTTCACTTTTTATCAAATCTATAGCACGTCTACATATATCTAAAGCTCTCCTAGCATCGCCTGATACAGCTGCCACTTTCCTAATTTTTTAGTAAAAAATATTAATATGGTCATTTTTTTAGTGCTGATAAATATAATATAGTTGTCGAAATTTAATAAAAATGTTTAAATGACTTTTAGAGTTAGGTATTTTTAAGTAATTTTTTTTTTTTAATCTTTTAGAATAAATAATAATGATTGATTAATAACTTTCATCAGTATTAAGAACAAAGAACATTGATTGATTCTAAAGATTTAATTAATTACCTAGAAACTAACTGTACTGCATCAGGATCAAAAGATGAATTACCAATTAATCTATTCATAATAATTTCTTGTAATTGCTGGAATGTATAAGGTTTAAACACTAATCTTGTTAATCCCTGTAAAAATTGTATAGCGATTTTTTTCACTTTTTTTTACTAAGTCATATTGTTATTATACATTTTTATTGATTAAAAATATTCTAAGAAAAAATAAATAAATTACTAAAAATCTTAACATGATATCTAGTTTCCCACAACCACACACTTTGTGATCAGCCTAAAAAATAGTGTATTGGCATAAATGGGTAGTAACCTAGTGATAATGTTGCTTTGAATTGTATGTTTAAATATTGTACTTTAGCTTATTTTTTTACATGATTTATAATATTATTTTGAAAATTGGTCATCATCATTGAGACAGCTGTATTAATATTAATTAAACAATTTAGAATTTTAATATATACCCTCTTTTATTAAATAAGATTAGTCATGGTAAGAATTTTAACTATAATTCCCTAAGTATTTTGTTACATCTTCGAAAATTAAGAGAAGTATAAAATTTTATATTCACTTGTCAAATATGTGAACATTTTTTTAAATGTCATATTACGCAAATCTAAAATGGATGTATTTTAATTGAAGATGCTATTATAACTAAAATTAGTAACTTCACATAGTTTCAAAAAATTTTAAAGTGATTATCTAATAACTTTTAAGGTTAAATTGAATCATAAAAATAAAATCTTTTTTAGTTACCATTCTACTAGTCACACATCCTCTTAAAACTCGTTCTGGTAAATCCATAGTATTAGCAATTGCTATTACAACCACTTTAGATCCTATTTGTGTAGGCCAATCAAGTATATTGTACACTACATCTTGTTTACGATTACAAATATGGTCAACCTAAACAAATTATTTTTATTATTTATGTTATAAAATAAGACTAAAAAGAGTTAAAAATATTTAAACCTCATCAACTAGTAAAATAGTAGTTACTTCTCTGGTTTCATTACCAGAAAAATAGTCATTTAATAGAGCTTGAGCTCGAGCTGAAGACACATTTTGTGATGTTAATTCCTTCCAAATAACTGAAAAAGCTTGATGTGGATTAGCCAGCCTCAATCCATTAATTTCTATAAACTAAAATTATTTTTACTTAAAAGTAAAATAATAATTACAATAATTATAAAATAATTAAATACAATTCAATACTTATATTTGTAAATAACTGTATTTTTTAATAGTCATAATAATAATTATTAAACGATAACTTAAGTAGTTACTTAGGCTTTAAATAAAAATAATAGCAATGACATAATTTAAAATGCAACTAATTGAACAGGTTAGGTCTTGAGTCACAAAAATCAGGATAAGCAAAAGTCATTTGTCCAAATTTGATACCACAGAAATTTTGGTGTTTTCTTTTACTAGATTACTGGACATTTTTTTATAATTTAATACCACTTCCCTTGTAAATATCTGAATTGTTAAATTATTTTTAGAATAACCAAGTCTCAGATCAATTATTACATTTAGTAGAAATATCATATTTTTACATCTATCTCACCAAATAAACAGCCTCAGAATTAATAAAAATTACTTATATAAAATTCTATGTTAATTTTTATACTTCATTTAAATTGATTCTACAATTTTTTAAGTTTCATAAGGCTATAAATTTTCAATCAACTATAAAATATATCAATATAAAAGGATATCTTCAACTAACACGCTTAATATTAAAAAAAAATTATTATGCAATTACTTTAAAACTATGTTTCATCATCAAATCAGAGCTCAAAGAATCAATTACGCGTTTAACTGTAGCAGTTTTACCAGTGCCAGGTACACCACTAACATACATACAACTAAAAAAAAAAAAATTAAGTATTATAATTTCTATTAATTGATTTAGTATCTTACCCTGTTAGATCATCATTTATTTTTCTAGCTAAAAAGGAACGTATTGATTTAAATTCAGATTCTCTACAAGGTAAATGTTTTGGTGCTGCATGCAAGTGTAAATTTGCCCTAGCTTTTTCTAAAGGACTGCATGGAACTCTAGCTCCACTATCTAATCGTTTGCTAGCTGAAGCTCTTAAACTCTTGACATAAGCCTAAATATAAAATATTATCTATAAAAATTAGTTAATATTAAAATTAATGTATAATAACATTTATTTACTTTAGGAGTTTTTTTGGGAGTTTTTGGAGTTGATATCAAATCATTTTCTGGTATATCTTCTAAAATTTTTCTTCGCGTTTTTGAACCAGAATTTGTAGGTGTCATAGACTGTCGTATACGTTTCTAAAAATAAAATGTTAAAATATTAATCAACTAATTCAATTATAAAAAATGATTTTATATCAATATTTACTAACATTAACTGGAGTTTTCCAAATATCAATTTCAAAATCTACATCTTTAGCTTCATCATCAATCATTGTTGAATTCTTCCGTTTCTATTAAAAATTAATAAATAAAATAATGCTCAACTTGATAAATATAAATGATGGGAAATAAAAATATAACCAAACTACATACACTTTTAGGAATTGTTTCATCTAAATCTATTTTTTCCAGATCTACATTTTCACCAAACCTCATAACCGGTTTTCTAACACGTTTCTGAAAATAAATAAATACATTTCAATGTACTAATGATAAGCTTGTTTCATACCTACAATACATAAGAGTTGATTTAAATTTTTAAAATTAACTTACTGGTGTAATAGGCTCCATTGAGTTATTAACAGAACTGACTAATTTCTTTATTGAACTTACAGATGATTTGCGTGAATTCTTCTATAAAAAAAAAAAAAAAAAAAAAGATTTTGTCGTACATTGGTAGTACTGCGACATAGACACAAAAAAGTACAAAAATTAATTATTACTTTTGATGACAAGTTTGTCATTTTTGGCTCTTCTTGAGTCCTCCTGTTGGATACACTGGTCAGCTCCAATCCCTCCAATTAGTGAACCACTAAAGAGGTAGGTTTCAAACCCCTTAGCACGGTCTAGCTCAAAAGTAGCAGACTGAAGGGTGGCTCCTCGTCAGCCAACAGCAAAACTACTTTTTCACTATACCTACTAAAGGACGGTGAAGCCAAAAATCTAGCCAGCACGCACACTAATTGTTAAGATCGACTTAAGGACCAGCAGTCCAACCTTGACTCTAGCCGCACACACAGACACAATTTTAATAACACAGTGAATATAAAAAATTTACACTAAGTGCAGGTTTTTGATTAGTTATATTTTATTTAAGGAATTTAATAAACACAAAATCAAAATACAATATAAATTAAGTCGTTCAAAATACAAAGTTACACGCACCAAACATCCTGACCCTTAACTCGACATTTCTTAGTCAAAACGTCAACCCCTTTTAATTTTTATTTTTCCCTTTATATATTCTTTTTCCCACCATTATTAATTTGTTACCCTGCATTTTCCCTTTATATGACATTATTATATTACTTAAGAATTTTAAAATTGCTTACTACTGTGTTGAAAACTTATATTACACTAATGTCGAAGTTATTTAATACTTTCTCAGCTATTTACTACAATTTATACAAATAAAAAATAGTATTTAAAGAGTGCGACACGGAAACCTATCGTATTTAAAACTGGTGTAGCTATAGAAAAAAAAAAAGTATAGAGAAGGAGACACAAGAGCACACTGTAGTCTGGTCTGCCACATTTTGTCTTCCATCACTAGTTAATCGCGATGAGCGAGTAGAGATGTTTTTTTAAAAGTCAAGAACGTTATGCGACTACGATACGCGCATTTCGTAAACATTTCTTAATACAGCCGCACAAACCAGTGCCAACTGAAGTAACAGAGCNCGTTTCTTAGTCAAAACGTCAACCCCTTTTAATTTTAATTTTTCCCTTTATATATTCTTTTTCCCACCATTATTAATTTGTTACCCTGCATTTTCCCTTTATATGACATTATTATATTACTTAAGAATTTTAAAATTGCTTACTACTGTGTTGAAAACTTATATTACACTAATGTCGAAGTTATTTAATACTTTCTCAGCTATTTACTACAATTTATACAAATAAAAAATAGTATTTAAAGAGTGCGACACGGAAACCTATCGTATTTAAAACTGGTGTAGCTATAGAAAAAAAAAAAGTATAGAGAAGGAGACACAAGAGCACACTGTAGTCTGGTCTGCCACATTTTGTCTTCCATCACTAGTTAATCGCGATGAGCGAGTAGAGATGTTTTTTTAAAAGTCAAGAACGTTATGCGACTACGATACGCGCATTTCGTAAACATTTCTTAATACAGCCGCACAAACCAGTGCCAACTGAAGTAACAGAGCGCTTATGGGTGAAAAATGTTGGCGAGAAGTATTGTAAATAAATTAAAATCTCCGGGTCCGAACGTCAGAAAACATTAAATGCGTGCGTTAAATAAAAAGTCCGCGAAAATTTCTTTGAAACACATGCGGCCAACTTGAAACGAACGTACGGTACGACAAATCTTACACCAACACCTACACTTTCATCCTTACAATATTGTGTTGACGACTCGACAACTTGACGCATGTCATACGCAACGGCACCAAGCTTTGCGAANACGAGCACACTGTAGTCTGGTCTGCCACAATTTGTCTTCCATCACTAGTTAATCGCGATGAGCGAGTGGAAAACGCATTAGCGGTTGAGATGTTTTTTTAAAAGTCAAGAGCGTTATGCGACTACGATACGCGCATTTCGTAAACATTTCTTAATACAGCCGCACAAACCAGTGCCAACTGAAGTAACAGAGCGCTTATGGGTGAAAAATGTTGGCGAGAAGTATTGTAAATAAATTAAAATCTCCGGGTCCGAACGTCAGAAAACATTAAATGCGTGCGTTAAATAAAAAGTCCGCGAAAATCTCTTTGAACACACAACTTGAAACGAACGTACGGTACGACAAATCTTACACCAACACCTACACTTTCATCCTTACAATATTGTGTTGACGACTCGACAACTTGACGCATGTCATACGCAACGGCACCAAGCTCTGCGAATATCGTACGGCCGACGACGACCCGCAGAGCGAATACACGTCGCGTCTTCTCGGCGTCGTCGATGTGACGACGTGGAAGATGTACGCTGCCGCCGGACGTGTCCCTCGACAAACCGATCGCTTACCATCAAAACCAGCGTCGACTACATTATCGCGCCGCAAGTTTGTTGGCCACTCATCACCAGATTAGGTTTTTGTCAACGCGTACTCGAAGAAATAGGATAATGGCGAGTTTCCTTTAGACAGTTTTGATTACACACGATGCGCATTTTTATCTTCATGGCGATGTGAATACACAAAATTCGTTCAATTTGACTGTTTGGTTGGGCATAGGGCGTCGTATGGTGTTATTGGTCTTTACTTCTTCGGAGACACTGTTAACGCTACCTACGGACGGTCCAGGATTTTCTCATGCCCTACAAAGAAAATGAAAACTGTCGGCGATACGGTTCCGGCGATGGAAACGACAGAATTGCTACGCAAACATTTTCATGATCGAATGATCTCACGCACCTGTGATTTTGTCTGGCCGCCGCGCTATCCGCATTTATCATACTGCTATCCCTTTTTATGGGCATTTCTCAAGTCCAAAGTTTATATAAACAAGCCAAGGAACCTGTCTCAGCTCTGAGCCAACATCGAAAAAGAATGGGCCAACATTTCCATCCATACAATAAAAAAATTAATAGCGAATTTTAGAAAAACAGCCGACGCGATTGTGTAAAATATCAAGGTGATGTAATTTTTTTAAAGTGATTTTATTGTAACTTTTTATGCTCAATAAAAATTTGTCAAATTCTGCATCTTATTATAAAAACAAATTTCTGCGTGATGATTTGATGAGAATTTTATGACAATTTTAAATACCATAGATTCCCATGTCGCACCTTGTAATATATGTTTCAAATAATTCAGATTATATACTTTTGGAGTTTTAAAAATATCATCTTCGGAATTTTCGTCATCTAAAATTTTATCAATTAATTCGTCAACATCGAATTCATTGCGTTGATTCCAACGTGAAGACTTTCTTGTACTTCTCTAAAGAAAACAAATTTATTTTAATCAATTAAAATGCAATAGAAAATACTACAATATACTTTAGGAGTAGCTAGTTTGTTTTCCATTTCTGAAGGGCTGTTTTTACGAGCGTTTTCAATTATCTAAAAAAAAAATTTAACATAAGACTTACTAAGCATTTGAGTAATAATTAAAGTGTACATTAAGAGGACGCCATACGGGCAAACGACATGACCGAGAGAATGAGGTTTTACAACCGAACTCTTCAATCACGCCCTGTCAATCATTCCAGAAAGGATACCCGCACCTGTACGGCTGCCTTATATTATTTTGGAGTAGCGCATCATTCTATTTTACTATTTACACTGTTATGCTGTGCGTTACGTAATATTTTCATTGATAAAGCTCACATAACATAAAACAAAACGAACATGTAATTATAATAAAATATCATAAGATTTTATTATGATATTATTTCGAATGCTATCTCTTATTTAACGTTAGTCTTACGAGTATCACATTTGTAGTTAATAATTTATTCACACTATGAATAAATGTTATATATCATTTTACTTAGTTTTGTGTGTTATATGAAATTAATAATAATAATACCTAATAATATGTATGTAGTTGGTACTTAAGTTGAGTTTAAACATTGGATGTAATTGAAACTGTAAGGGAATTAATTATTTAAATTTAAACCAAATTGTAAATCGATTCTTTTCATCCGAGAATAGAAAATAATAGTTTTTTATGTAGCTATCTACGACACAATCACCTTTAATTTGCAGTAATTTATTAGTTATTAGTGACACTGGTTTTGCCCTGCAAATAGTTGGTATGGAGTCGATTGAGGAAATAAGATAAAAAATGTTAAATTTTCAATTTTTTTTTTCTGTGTGTTTTTGATATATTTTCAGGGCCGTAGCACGGGGGGCAGAAGTGCCTACGCCCTGGGCCCAAAATCGTAAAATTAATCATTTTTGTTAAAAATTGTGATACCTGTTGTTTTACATACAACTTTAATGTCATTTAGATTTATTGGTACTTTGGTTAATTAGTTGAAAATTGTATTTAGTTGACTACTTAAAATATTTTTCTATTTACAAAAATTTATTGAACTGGATATTTTTATCGATCAACATGGATGTTGAAGGATCTATTGTTTTTATAATTTTGATAATACAACTCTGAAGCTATTTATTATATATTTAAAAAAACAAAAAATAGGAATGTTTAATAGTAATTATAAAATACTAGAAATAATGTTAACAAACAAATAAAAATGCTAGATCACAGATAATTTTCTCCTTTATAATTTTGTAAAAATTTAGGACTCTAGCATCATTACAGATCAAATAAAGTAGCCCCGCACAAAACCGTTTTATTTTCTGTATGGCGTTCTCTAAATTTTGAAATTCAAACACACTAAACTTCTGTATTTCAGTATATATTAAGTATTTCTATATTTTAATTCATTTATAAACAAAAGAGTAAATAAAATAAACATACTTAACTTTCTACTTACCTTTTTTGCACTTGGTGAAAAAATTGAAATATAATTGGTTTTGTCAACACGCTTAATATTAAGTTTTAGTTCTTGCTAAAATTATATTTTATGTTATATCATAATAATATTTCAGACAATATTTAAAATAAACATACCAGTTGAAAAATTTCATTGGGCGACTTAAATTCTGTACTATTATTTTTATGATTTATTTTAGGTGTATTAGTTGATTTTATCTAAAATATAAACAACTTCATTAAAAACTTATTAAAATTAAATGCCAATACTAATTAATCTCCAAATTGTCAGAATAACTATTTACTACAAAAAATTACTTCAATTAAGACTTGAAACCAATACGAAATATTTCAATTAGTTTTGATTTCAACCTTGAAAATGTTTTTGTTTTGTCCAATTTGAGTTTTGATTGTAATAACGGTTCTTTTATATTTATTTATTTTCTTATAAGGGTTTTAATGCTTTATCATTTTATTTTTGGTAAAATACCAGTTAGTGTATGGTAATTTTCAAAGGCATTTTATGCTTAAGTGGACATTAAAAAATTATTCACTGCCCCTCTAAATAAAAATTGTAACTTCAGCTATCTAATTTTTATTTGGACATGACACATAAATCTCTATTCACAATTACATGGATATTTACTGTAGTATTTTTCTATCAATAAAACATTTTGCTTTTCAAAAACATAAATAACTATTTATAAAAATAACTATTATTAAGCTTAATATAATTTCAAGACTCCTGTATACAACTTGTACTAGTGTATATTTACAATGCATACTTTACCTGTGCATGTAGCACAGGTAAAGTATGCATTGTATGTAAGTATGTAACTCAAACTATGTATTAAAAATTTTATAACTCGATAAATACTTATCTGAAAGTTGTTATCAAAATGTTTGTAAGAAAAGCACTTAAAAATAGCTATTTTAAAACTTTGGAAATTTTTTTAAAAATTATTTTTTATTTAATAAAATAATGTAATAATAAGTATGCTTTTTATGTGGTCTAAGAATGCAGAAATTAAAAAAAAATACAGTGAAATTTGAGTTATATTATTTAAATTATTAAACCACTAAATAACTAAAGGAAAACTGTACTTATTACTATACTGATCAGACTTACACATGCACACAATATCAGTCAATAAGGTTTGTCTTTGTGACTTATTTTAGACAAGTGAGTAATAATATGTAAATAAATAATTGTTTTTTTCATCCCTTTTGTAATGAAAAACTTAAATTTTAAATTTCTCTAATGTGAACCCCTTTATTAACTTTGACGCAAGGCTATGAATACTTTGAAAAGTATTCATTTTATTATGGTTTTTTTTTTGTCTGTCATCACTTTTTCTTAGCTTGTATCAGCCCGATTTTTTTCAAAGATACATCAAAATATCACAAACCGTATCTAGTGGAAGGATGACGACTACTGTATACTAAATGGAAAATTACTAATAGAAAATTGGCCTAAAATCTAATGGTTTGTTTTTTACTCTATCCAACATATCCTTTCCGTATGCTTCCAGCACTACATCTAAAAAGCTTCTATTATCCTTTACAAAAATTAAATTTTTAAATTGTTTCCAAGAAAACATGCATGTTTATATATAAAAAGTAGTAACATTTGTAATTCAATTATCCTATAAATAATTTATAAAGAAAATGTAATCTGCTAAGTGTTCATAAAATATAAACAATGATAAATATACATTATTAGTATTATACTCAAATAAATTGAAGGAAAGGATCACTGTTAAAAAAAATTGCCTTAGTGAAAACTGACATTAATAGAAAAGTATTTGATTGTGTATTTACACACATACATTATAAAAAAAATTATTAAAATATCTTATCAAATCCAATATCTGTTTCAATTTTAGTTTTACTACCAAATATTGGTTATAGAAAATCTTTTTATAGTTTCCATACAAATACCAGTTTTTTTAAATATTAGTTTAAGTTTTAATATTCATTTTTTATTCATTTATTCAAAATTGGTTTTGATACTGTTTTCAAGTCTTGCCTTAGATCATTTTACTCTGTACATTTAACTTTTACTATCTAAATTTAAAAAAATGAAATATAGAAAAAATTATTCTAATTGTTTTTTAATATAATAATAATATAATTGCATATATTTATATTTTTAGCAGAGTTAGTAATATTTAAAATAATAGTAAATTCCAAAAATATATAATTTTTTTTATAAAAAAAAATAAAATTTAAAATAGTTAACTTTAATATAACAATTCTAAGAAAATCTTATAAGAATTTTTTGAATAAATAAATACCGCAGATTTAGAATTTTTTGGAGGTGTTGTACAGCAAACATCAATTTTATTTTCCAATGTTGGATTTACATTCTCACTAAGTTTCCTTGACTTTCTAATGCTCGATTCATTAGTTGACTTTTTTCGAGACAAGTTTCTATTTTCTCTTTCTGGTGTTTGTACACGATTCATCTAAATAATATTAAATATAATATAGTAAAAAAAATTGAGACCAATTACAAGTACACTTATAATATCAAGTTAGGACAACACAAAAAACATTGAGTTTTTTACAAAATAATTTACCCATTCAAAATAAATCAAATTTCCTAATGCATATCAAATCATAGTGTACCATAACATGCACCTAATATGAACAAAATTTTTAATATCAAATTAAAAGTAAATGTCTGTAAATTTTCAAATTAAAAATTTTAATTTGTAAGACTTAAGCAAATATTGCTAATTTCAACAAAAACTTTTGAAGAATCATATATACACGTCAAAAGACTAATAAATCTATATAATCTGAAAAGTAAATTAATTTTAACTAAATAATAACTTAAAAAAAAAACCTAATAGCAACTTAACTATGATTATAGTATAAACTTTTAAATAAATTTCAAAATTTTGAAATTCATATATTGCATATTTGATTCCAATTAATAAATATAAAAAAACTACAAATTAAATTAACCTACAAAATAAAAATCTCATTACCTTAATATAATTACGAAAATTTGTTTAAAATATTTAAAATTGGTCAGTAAATAAAGTAATAGCAGCACGTTAATGAATCTATACCAATATTACTGGTATACCAATATTATTAATACTCCTGTGTCAATACATTGATCATAAAATTTTAAAAATTTGCCAACGGTTCAATGTAATTTATTGACAAGAACATTTCACAATTGAAGCAAAATAATTGTTGAATAATTGATACGACGAATAATAATAATTACATCCTAAGTAGGTTATGCGATAAATACGAGCAACGTCCTCAACAAAGAATACGCGGGAAATGTTATCACTTATCATAAATAATCAATGTTTCAAAACATTTAGAAGATAAGGCGAACTTCGTTCTTATCAGTGTTTCGCTTATTGAGTCGAAAATGTTTCAGATGTTGTTCTCAAAAGCGCTGTTTTTAGGAGAACTTAAGGTAATACGGGTATATATTGTATACTTGCATATATTACGCGTATAACCGAAAATCCCCCTTAAACATCTGAAACGTTTAAATTACGCCAACCTTATCTTATAAGGACATGGTTCAAATTTATCATCAGCTAATTCCAAAAGATAAATAATTGTTTGACAAAAACGCCTAAAACGTGATTGTCTTCAAACTCGAAATTGATTTTAAAAATCATCTTATTTTAAATGTATAGACCTAGATTTTTTAACGATTATAAAAAAAATTCCATTGCTAACTTATAATAAGCCCATGGATGGAACTAGTTATGGGTCGTTCACGAACGAACGGATCTTTTTGAACGGGTCATATCAGTGAACGAGTTGATCCGGATCGCNTCATATCAGTGAATATCAGGTCATATCAGTGAACGAGTTGATCCGGATCGCAAAAAAAATAGATATCGTTCATTCGTTCATACGTTCGTTCGTTCGTTTCACGCAATATATCGGACACACTGTTTCATGATTCGTTCATTTACTGAACGTTTACCTGCACTTCAGTTAAAACCTATGCCTAACCTTATATTCTTATAATATAAAAATTTAAAAAAAAAACGAAGAATATATTCTTTATAAGTATATACTTATAATGTTTTCTTAAAAAATTAAATAAAAAAATACTTATTGCCAATGAGAGTTTAAAAGCAACACTATTTGGTTTGTGATAAAAACATTTTTATTGTAGGTTTGCAGACTAAATTTTCAAAGTTGTGACATGTTTCTACTAACATAATCATGCAGGTTTAAAACAGATTACTTCAAGTATCCTACTAAATTGTTCATTTGAAGAACAATTTTGATTATCAATATATAGCTATTTATTTCATAAATATTACATTCATATAATTATTTATAAGCGAAAATAGGTCTATGAATTAGTGAATTTAGCAACTAGGACAAAAATTGACTATTAGACTAATATAATTGTTGTGAGAGGTATTAAACCACCTCACTCTTTTATAATCTGGTCATAGCTGCTGTAAATTGTAATATCTGATTTAGGTGAATTAATTTCTCTATAAAACTCCTTTTATGAAAACAAATAATTTAAATGATTTCGCTTATTATAGAAACAAATTCTATGGATTTATGTACCGCAACTCATCCGCTAGTATAAATTATTTGTTTTTATTCTATACAAAAATATTCGTGTATAACAGCATATTATGTTATTTCAAGTAATTTGTATTTGAAAAAATAATATATAACACGATTATACAAGTGCATTATCAGTAAAAATTCTAATATCACGATAATGTTGCATAGTGAAAATGCGAATTTGAACGACTCGTTCAGGAAAACCATAGTAAGGAGTAATTGATAAGAACCGTGACCGATCGTAAGAAATGAACGAAAGAACGAGTTATATGAACGGGTCATTTGAACGATCCGGATCGTTCGATTGATCCGAAATTCCATCACTAGATGGAACTCAATCTATGTGTAACCACAGAATAGATAATATCTTATCTATTCTGTGATATAATTATTTTATGTTATCAGTTATAAGTCACATGTCCGGCTAATTTTTATTTGTATTTAAATACTATAGGCCATATACTATATATTATATAAGTAATAATAATTATACCAGATAATTACAAAACAATCTTTAAAAAAAAGTTAATATCAATAACTCTTTTTATGACTTATTTATTCATGACATTCTTAACATTTAATTTTATACTATTCTCAACAAAATTATTTCTTTAATTTAAAAAAAAAACTATTATTTAAGCTTTTTATGTACCTAACGCAAAGCCTTCAATAAATGCACAATGAGTCGTACAATAAATTACCTGACAACTATTGGTCGTATTTCATTTTCTTACTACAGGACGGCTTTGCCAAAAATTTGTTTAATCAATGTACGGCCCTTGTGTATGCCATCATCATTTCATGAATCGTTCATAAAGTATAGTGTGGGTCGTGAAAATGCTAATGCACATAATACTATGGTTAATGATCCAATGTACAGTGATACTATAGTAAATCCTTATGACTGTAAAGATTGGCCTAGTGTAACAGATGAAGAGTTTAATAAACTAATCACTCAAAATTATCAATCTAAATCTGTTGATGAAATATGTGAAGATTTTTTCAAAATAAGTATTTTTGTATCGGGTAAACAATTTAGTTTCTTAGACCAGTTATTTGATCCAATTAGAGAGCAGTTAATTTCAGTTGCTTCACAATTATCAGATGATCAACTACTAAAATGTTTAAAACTATTATCTTTGTGGAATGTCAAAATAGCTAAAGATCCAGTATACTTCAAATTTTGGTCAGCTTTAGATAAACAATGCATAGAACGTTTTAGAAAATGGTCTTTAAATAAGACATTACTATATATGGATCATTGGTACATGGCTAGAATGGCCCGAATGAGTAATTTTGTTTGGATGGCTGTTAGAAAACTTGCTCGTAAACCATCAAGGTAAATAGTACTATTTTAAATCTAAATGTAAGATTGCAATAATTCATACAAAAATTACCAAATGTTTTAAAAAAAGGGTGCTTGATAATAAGAATTAGCATGTTGATTTAAATGTGCAAAAATATAAGGTCTCTAATGGACTAAAATGTGCTTTAGTGTTCTAGAATTGTGTTATGTTTTAAATCTATTGTAAATTTTAATAAATACTATCAGATTTAAGTATTTATAAAATAGTTGTTTAACTCTTTTTTAATTTAATGATATTATATAATCATATATAATCAATCAACTTATTAATCAATAAAGTAGTTTGATTCTTGTATTAATTAATTCCATTAAAATATGTTTAATAATTTAATGATCAGGATGTTATTTTTAATTTCAGATTAACTCCTAAACAGTTGGTTCAAATGATGTTTTATGCTAATACTAGTAGAAAATTTACACAATCTCTACCTATGTTTGATATTGAACACGAATTAAATTCATATTTTGATGACTTTACTATCAAAGAACTTGGAATAATAGCATTAGGATTTTTCAAAACACAGACTCCTATACGCAATTTAGAATTAATTGATAAAATATACTCAGCTGTTCTATCAAACTTCAACAATATTAACAGTATAGAACTAGCCGCATTTTTAAAGGTATTATTACTAAATTTCAAAGTAGTTTATTATGTATTGATACACTTCATTTTTTAGATTTTTAGGTACTGCACTAAGCCAAAAAATTATGTTTCGATGCTTAAACTTATGGATAGTTTAGTAGATAAAGTCGACCAAGTAAATATTTTGTGCTGTGTTCATATTGCATTACTAGGCACTAATTTGTTGATTAAACATGATGAACTCTTAAATAAAATCTCTCAAAGAATGGTCAATGAAATTTCAGAAACCCGTATTAAAGTAAATTAAAAATTTAAATATTATTTATATCACAAATTACTATTTATTTTGGATTAACACTAACTAATATTGTTAGGATTTAGAAAGACTAGTATTGGTATTAAGTATGTTAAATCATAACCCACAAACAAAACCTTGCATATTTGATGCTGTTGTCAATGAGTTGAGAAATACTAAAAGAAAAGAAGAGTTTGAATGTTTTCCTAGATCCTATGTTTATACCCTATCATATTTAGCATTAAATAAAATTTATCCCTATGACTGCATTTCTAAATCGTTAACTAGTGAAGCGTTACATAAGTGTTTTGGTATGTATAATCTTTTATAAATGAAATTTTCAATGTGTACTCTATATTTCATCCAATTCCTTAATTTGTATTTTGTTATTTTAAATTCGTTTTTAGATAGTTATTTTAAAATACATTAGTAAAAAGATTTTTAAATCTATGTGTATTTATTTAAATAAAATAATAAATAGAGAATTGTGGATTATGATATCTTTCAATTAATGTATTTTATGAAAACTTTATTTCAGGAAAAACACTAAACAGGTTTACTATTTCTCGTGACATATTAAGTTTGAATAATGGACTTCTTATTGAGTGTCCTGATTATACAGGACCATTTTTGCCTGTTAAATTAAATGAATCATGTAATAATGTAAGTTAATAAGTTTCAATTTATCTAAGAGATTTCTTTTTTTTGTAAAAAGTTTGATTAAAAAAAGGCTCAGATTGAAAAACCCTAAAAAACATAAAAAAATGTATCATTTTTAATTACTTAAAAAGTGTGATAACATTTTCTCTAATTTTAAATATGCTCTGAAAATTGAATTTTTTTTTGTTTTAATTCAACTAGTATACATTGTAGATATCACCAAGCTCTGAGTTAGCTAAATCATTTAACTGTTTTATTTAAACAAATTATTTTATATGTCAAGCCATGTTTAATTGATTATTTGTTTACATTTTAGCACGGAGCATGGCACATACCCACAACAACAGAATCTAATAAAATGTCTCATAGTGATAAATTTATTTCTAAACTGTATAGAGAACTTTCTTGTATGTTTATTGACGAATCATTCTTACATGTATGTTATCCATTACCTCATCACTCAAAACCAGGTATATAGTTATATAATACATTGCATCACTACACATGATATTTTTTAATTGTTTAAGTTTTAAAAATATTTATTTAGTTTTTGAATAAAAATTTTAATATTTATATTTGTAATAACTAAATTTTAGATATGCTCTTTTGTATTGATCCAAGTGGTAAACCCATCGATTTACCTGAATCAATAAAAAGTAGAACTGCTTTTCATGAATTTTCTAAACCTCCAAATATTGGGAAATGGTTTGCTATTGTCCCACTTGTACGAAATTCTGTTCTTTTTAACAGTTCAGAACCTACTGGCCAAACATTATGTAAAATCAGACAACTAAAAAAAATTGGTTATGAGCCAATTATGGTAAGAGTTATTATAACTATATTCAATAAATAAATATACTTGAAGGACTTAGTTATTAATGACTTTTTCTTGCAGTTTTCTCACAAAGAGTTTTCAAATGACATTAATGTACATAATCAAATCAGAGAAAAACTGAAATCTTATGGTGTAGATGTATGAATATTGAGTTTTACTATACACCTATAAAACAACAATATAGGTATAATAGATATTATGCTATGTTTCTTAAGATCATAATATAAAAAATATTTTAGTATGTTAATTTGCATGATTTTTGTATAGTATAATTTAAATTATTTAAAAATATAAATGATTATAAAAGTTGTTAAATCAGTCTTATTTTTTTTTTAAATTATAGACAATTAAACATCAAAATTATATCATCTTGCAAAAAAAAAAAAAAAAATTACATACTTTAGGAATAAATAAAAATTTTTTTTACTCTAAAAATTAGTTTAATTTAATTTTTATTATAACCTCATCTTTTTACTAATCAACAAACAAAGTAGCTTTATTGCATATAAATTCTTCATCTTCTTCATCATTCACATCCTCATCTTCCACATTTTCTTCTACCTTATCATTAGTTTGGGATAAAGATAACATTTGCAATTTTCTTGGGATTTCTTTATCATAATCTAAAATATTTGATTGTTTATTACACATAGATACAGATATTGTATGATCGACATCCATATGAACTCTCTCGTGCATGATAGTTTTAAGTAATGCTTTTGCTTCTTCTTTAGTTTCAGCATAGTTTAAACATTTCTGTGCATAATGTATTGCAGATTCATAATCTGTTTGACTTAAATAGTAGTTAGCAAGAAACATAAAAGCAGAACTATGGTCTCTAGTTTGTTCATCTAATGCATATTCATCAATGTACTCTAAAAACATTTTAGCTGCATCATCAGGTCTTTTAATCTGTACATACAACCTATATTTGAAAAATATTTGTTAACAAAATCCATGATAATTAAGATATAAATTGTTTATTACTTTGCTAGACATATAAGTCCAAGTTTCTCATCGTCACCCATTGCGCGTCCTTTTAAATAACTTTGAAATGCCATGTCAATGTTTCCAAGTTTTTCATACACATTTCCAACAGCAATTATCATCCGACTATCAAATGGCCTTAACAATTGTGCTTGTTTAAAATAATAAAGACTATGTTTAAACATACCAAGGATTTCATATGTCTGACCCAGTCCGTACCAAGCTCTATACTCATATTTATTGATTTCTAGAAAAATGAATTTAAATTTGTTATTGAATTAATGTAATACATTTAAAAGATTTACTTATGGATAAAATCAATTTAAATTGAATATATTAAATAAAAATTTAAACCTAATAAATTGTGCTGATTATTATTATTATTATAGAAAAAAAAAAATTAAAATACTTAATTATTATTATTATTATTATAAATCAATATTATATAAATAGTAGTATGTTAGAAGATTTACATTGTATATCCACTAACAATTTTCTTTTATTTAAATATAATTAACGTATATTCTAAAAAAATATTACTCAAGTATTATTTATTTGAAGGATATAGGCTCACAAATCAACATATACTCTATAATAAAAAATGGGGTATTTTGTGAAAGCACCACTGTGTATTACTATTAATTTATTCATACCTAAAGCTTTACTATAACTTTGAATCGCATCATTAGAATTTTTCAATTCCATGTACTCTTGACCGAGTAGAGTCCAGGCTGCTAAACACAATGGATTAAGTTTCAAAGCACGCAAAAAGAAACGCATTGCTTTTTGATGTTCTGAATGAAGGCTGTAATAGTTACCAAGAATACAACAAGTCTCTAATCGATATTTATCAATCACAACAGCTCTATGAGCTAAATAAGCCAATTCAACTCTTTGGTGTTGAACATAAAGTAGATTAGAATAAGTATCCATATTTTCTAATCGATATGGTTCAATCTCAATTAGCTCATGAAATTTTTGTAATGCTGTTTCAACATCTATGATTTAAATTAATGATTTTTACTATTAAATATTTTACGTATTATTTTTAAAAATACTATTAGAAATAATATATAACAAGTCAATAATATATTGTGCATCATTGCAGAGATAAATAGGATTCAATTTTGTCACAATTGGAAACATAAGTTTAATTGATCTTTCTGGCACAAACAATAACTTTTAAAAGATGACGTTCAACATAAATAAAAATTTTAGAGTTTACTCACATCTTTTATTATGATAACAAACTGCCACTCTAGAAAGAAGAAATGTACTGTCAGTAAAACCACAGTTGAATAAATACTGAGCAACCGCTAACATTTGTTCATTTAGTTGTAAATCTAAATATTTTTGACAAAAAAAAAAATTTCTCATCCAATGGTTTGGTAAATCAAGTTTTGACAACTAAAATTAAAATATTTATTACAATTAATTATAAACGAATTTAAACATTCAACAAATTACTTTAACTCTATCGACAATTAAATCACCAAGTTGCATCCAAGCATGCCAATTCAGTGGTTTTTTACTAATAGAATCTAATAATATTTCAACTGCCTCATCATACTTCTCTAATTTTACATATACCACTCCTAATAGGTATAAAAAATATCCATCTTTTAAACAATCAGCTTGTGAAGTTTTCAAATTAGATATTATTTCATCTAAATTATTTAGATAATCATCAAACATAGCCGGAGTAGCTTCACATCCTACATTTTTTATTGTACCATCAGCTGCTAAATATTCTGAATAATATTTTAAGTATGAAGATATACTTGATTTACAGTCTTTCAATAAGTGTGATGCTCTGAAAATTAAAATTAACATAATAATTAATGTGTTATAATTAACGTTTTATCATTTAATACCTCTTGTATTCCTTAAGTTCAAAACACCTTAAAGCGTGTATGTAAATACTTGCTTCATCATTAGACAATGTCATTCTTCTAAGTTCATTTCTGTTTAACTGCAAGTTTTTAAATGCTTCACTATCATATTTTTTATATACTTTCAAACTTTTTTTTTTATTTTTTGGTTTAGATGCATTTCCTACTACTAATGAATTTAAAAGATCTATACACCTAAAAATTAAATTATTATTAATATATTTAAAATTAAAAATTATGCAATACACACCATTGATAACTTATTTTCAGTCCTCTAATATTTAATTCCTTAAGACTACTTAAAAGTTCTTTCTTTATATCTTCAAGACTTCCGATTTTAGTCACATCAACATCCATTAAATAATTATTCATTTTTTTTATTAATTTTTTTGTTTAAAACAAACCTTTAATATTACTGGCTGATCAAAAGTTTTAAATTTTTCATTGCAGAACAGTTATGTTTTGCTAAGGATTACTATTAACAACTTATATTAAGAAATCAAACTGTAGTATATTATCAAATACCATTGATAAGTCTTATCTAAACTTATGGAGACTTTCAATAAAGTACACGGCTTAAATAGAATATTAATGATAGATAAATACAATGGCGCTTTCACAAAATTCCTTATTTTTATGGGTGGGTATACGATGATTTGTGAACTTATACCCTTCAATATTATTTTAATAGGATATACGTTAATTTTATAAATGATATCTGACTCATTAAACATACAAAAGTATAACCGTTTTTTTTACTTTCCATAGAGTGCACGATGTACAATGTTTTTGTTCGTTTCTGAACTGCTATAATCTGTGGAAAGATTATACGTTTTATTTAACAAAATTTATAAATCCCTATAATTCTTAACTCTGGTAATAATGTTTTAAAAATAACAGACAATTTTTTTTTCAAAACCGCTCTCTTGCAAAAAGCAAAACTACACTTAATTTTTTTTTGCACTGAGTTATCGATAGGTGAACTTATTCTTAATATGTATAATTTTGCATAGTCTTTTGATTTTTTGATGTTCTATGTCCATGATTCCTCATATTTATTAACATGGTTTTTAAAGATAAAAAACCATTTTATATATTTGATTATTAAGACTAACGGATGTTAGTTCTTCAAAATATGTTCGTCATTATCGAAAAATAACTAAAAAATATATAAGTACATAGAGTGATCTGTTTACTATAAACCACTCGATTATTTATAAAATAAACACAATATTGGAAAAATAATTTTTGATTACTTTTAGTTACATATATTTCATGATTTAACAACTAATAATTACTTTTTAGGATCATCCCTTTTAACGTATAGAAGTGTCAACTTTATTTTTTCAATTGTCAACGTACAAAATTAACTGGTTTATTTAATAGAAAATTATGTAATAATGAAAATGACTCATCAATACAATTTTTGGACCAGTATTTCAAAAGTTAATAACAATTTAAAGTAATGATTGGAGGTAAGGAGTAAGTGCTGCTATTTTAATCACTTATCATTTCACTTCGTCTCACCTATGTATAAAAATAAGAATGACATCCCAGGTACCAGTTCAAAAGTTGTTATCGACCAGTCATTTTTTTAATTAGATAATTTTCTATTTTATAAACAAATTAAATACGTATGTTACCACTTAAAAAAAAATAAAGTTGACACCTCTTTACGTTAAAAGGGATGATCCTAAAAAATAATTAATAACTAATAAATCAATATATATATGTAACAGAAAATACCAATTTTTTCAATATTGTATTTATATAAGAGTAATCGAGTGGTTTATAATAAACTGATTACTCTGTATTCATTCATGATTTAATTATTATTATGTTATTTAATTATTTTATCTATTCACTAATGATTTTAAATGTATCCTTTATTTTAATGTTTTATGAAATTTCATTGAATGTCTTTAGGCTGTTATATTTTTATCTTGAAAAACAATAATTTTTTCTGTAGTCATAAGGATTATAATTACTGGAACTCTTCTTAATAATTTACGCACAGGCTTGTAAATTAATATAACACACTTTTTTCAACAATTTGCAAGAATTTCCGACTTGCGGTTATGTCGCGGCATTTCATTCATTTTATTCAATTATCAATTGACTTTAATCGATTTTATATCTCTATCTTCCATATGAGTGAATTTACCTACATGTTGAAAAAATCAAAATTTGTTTTGTGTGTTCTTATATATTAAATTATTGGATAAAATTTTAGTATTTCTATTAAATTTTTTTCAAAGACTATTTAAGTATATCTATAAAGTACCATAGATTTTTTTGAGACATCTATTTTATTTGTTGTGAATTTTACAAAACAAATTTTGCCAGAATTATAAAACAATTGTAATCAAGAAACCAAGACGTGTAATTATGTTTTAAAAAATTCGAAAATAAACATTTTAATATGGTAAAATATGCTGTATTCTGTATTAACTTAATAGTTGAAGGTTAGAGTATTAACATAAAAAACTATACTACATATAACTAATCTGTTTAAATAGGCAAGAATTTTCAAAGGTGAAGTTGACATTTGGGAATGTGACACTATTTTTGAAATTATCAAGAGAAAATCAAAATGTTTTTATAGTTTGGTTACATTAAATTAAAAAAAATATTTTTGACTATAACAAAATCAATAAAAGTATTAAGTTAGAAAAATTAGCAATCTACAAAATAATGATTTATCTGATTAACCAAGTCATTACTAAACAATTTTTTATCAGGATCCTATAATCAAATATGAAGTAGAAAATTGATTTTTGTCAATTGAATAATTTGTCATAAAATATCATGCAATAATTGTAAGATTTTTTATTTTTTGATAATATTGTCTTACATTAAAAAATTGCTGACTAAAACTATTACATTTTACCAAGTAGGGGGTGTGATATCCCAAAGCCACTCTCACAGGATGGCCCTACACATTATAAGAATAAATAGTGATTTCTTTATTTTATTTTTTCCAGCCAAAAGAAGAAAAAATATATCTATAATAATTTAAGTATATATTAATACTAGTATTAATATATTTAAATAGTTTTATATTTTCATTACATAGATGTAAATAAAGATCATTTTTTTAGAAGCTTTAATGTTATTAACAACATATTTTAAAGTTAATAACAAATTATCTTAAAATATTTCACACCGGTCATAAACTATTGAAGTACTCTGTATGAATTCTAAAATATACCTGTGTAATATATATAATATAAAAGTAATTCTATAATATAATTGTACAAAATAGTTATAAAACTGTAAAATATTAATATTTGTGTTTTTCTTTGGTAGAGGATTGTCTACAAATATACAGTGCTTAATATCAATAATTAGATCATTAGGATGACAATAGTTTACATAAAAATATATTATTTATACATAAATAGAGATAATTAATGCCTTTTGACTAAAAATTTACTTATATATAATGTGAATTACTTTTAAACATTTATATACTTATAAAAATGAGTTATCACATCAATTATTAAAGCTGTCAGCTAGGTGCTTGTCAATTTTTTTAAAATAGCATTAAAAACATTTATCTGGTTTCTCTACCAGCTAATTTATCAATATAATCTTGTAATGGTGCCAATTCTCTTCTATCAATCAATACAAATTCCTGTAAAAAAAAAAAAAATTATTTATTTGAATTATATTACAATGCTGTAGAAAAAAGGTATTTTTGTTAAGAACTGACCTGAACAAAATAAATAAAATGTTTAAAAGATGTATTGAGGTGTGCTTCTTCGCCCAAAGATACAATAGAATCAAAATGAGTGTGATATATATGTGCATAAACCCTGAATAACCGTTTGAGAATTGTTTTTGCAATAGATAGAAAATTTTTTGGGAAAGGAACTCCAATTTTTGATGGAAATAATGTTTCATCATCTAATTGGTCTTGAACCCAAGTCATTAGGTAATCAATATATTTAGGTGCCGAACATTTGATTGGTTTTTTTACAGTTAAACCATCTGCCCAATGGTATTCATACTTAGGACCAGCAGACATGATAGAACAACTTTCCTCAGTACAAAATTCAGTTATAGTACCATACAACATATTTATTTGGTTAAAAAAGTCAACCGCTGAAATAGCAAATTTTGATATATATTCTAATATTTATAATAAAAGTTATAATATACAGTGAATTACTAATTAATTAAAACTATTTACAACACTTTAACTTAAAAAAAGTAAAGTACAGTAGGAATCCAATAAAGTGGAGTTGAGGCATCTTTTATATTAGCATTAATATCTGAAAGTGATTAAAATCACTGTCATTAAATGCTTTAATAAGTATTTGAAACATATTAAAAAAAAATTTAACATGTCTATCAAAAATTACATGATAATTGTTTTTAGAGGCCTATTATTACTCATACAAGACAAATCGTCAAAGTCATTTTTTAATCATACAATACACAAAAAAAACCTTACACTGTATGTAGTTTTAAATTATGTATATATTCAGTTACTATGCTAAACTCTTCAAAATAGTATTTTTTTAATGCCCAATAACTATGAGAAATCAAGATGTAGAATATCTTTTCTTTTTTCATCTTAAAGAACATTGTATAAGTTTTAATTTAATATATATTTAAAAAAGGTAAGTTTTTAGAAAAATTTAATAGAAAAAATATTTCAATAACTTGATTTTGAAATATTGATTAAAAAAACATATTTTAAATGTTATTTAGTTGATATAAATTTATTATATATAATTGACTTACTATTGACAGCAACCCACTCATTCAGATCTTCACCTTCAGGTAACAAAACAGCTAGTCTGAGATTGCCTGACCCAAGTGTTGCAGCTGCATGTTTCATCAAATCATATTGATGAGTTCCTTCTGGTATGTTCTTTTTAGGTTTAAAAGTTTTTGATGATCTGCCTCCACTGAAAAAATATGTAAAATAATTAAATCAAAATAAACTATAAGTCGAACAATTCACAAAAGTTTAACCTACAATAGGAAGCTCATTATGGATATACTTTGTGCATAAAATTGTATCCTTTAATTTACTAAATCAATAAAAATCTTTTTAATATTATTTTATATTTGGGAAATAGAAAAAAAATACTAGTTGAAAGTCTAAATCTTAATTGAGAACCAAAAAAGATTTTAATCATGAATATCAGATCGTTACAATAGGAAACTTTGCTTAAATATTTAATGATATGTTTTTAGTTCAATACATTAGTCATAAATATTTTCTTATAAATGTAATATTTTTTTGAAACTTTATTAACATATAATTATATGATTTTTTTTAACAACAAAAACTAATAAAATGTGTGGATCATACCACCACAGCTGTTTATGCAATACACATAGGCTGATAAAAAAATATTTATTTTTCCATGATTTAGCGTCAATTTAAAAAAAAAATTTAATCATTACGCACAAAAAGTTTTATTTACATGAAAAATAAAACAGAATGTTTTTATTATTCTTGGATCGTGAATACAGCTTAAATAAAGCTCATGACATTGGTTTAAACATTAATTTTATTATTAACTAAGTATCATGTAAGTTTTTTCCTTATTTAATATTTTGTTTCAACTTTAGCATTAGTCAATCTACATTAAATTACTGTTATAGAAGTTTTCTTAATTATCGATTTTTAAACTCAATTAATTTTATTAATTTAAAGTTGTAAAGTCAATGGTGGACTTCATTATAGCCTGTATTCAGGCTATAATGAAATTAAATTGGACAGAAAATCTAAAATTCTCAAAGTATGGAAAAAAATTTCTCTTAACAACAAAATTAATTTAAACCTCTTGATTTAATTTATTTAAAAATATATCAATTAAGTGTATTTTATTGTAAATGTCATACTAATATCACTATGAAAAGAATTACATTGTAAACAGAGTTATCAAAAATAATTTACAATACATTTGTAATTTATTCAAAAAACAATTCTAATGAAATATATTTTTTACCAATGGATTTGAAATCATGTTTTTCAATCAAAAGTGTACAAAGAATATGTGATTTTTATTAGATACAAGGTAAAAACTCTAAATAGCGAGGAATTATTGACAATATCATTACAAAACCAAATTTAGTTTTCTACCTAACACCAAATATAGTTAAAAACATTTTAAATTTAATTTGATGATGGAGGAGGTGGTGGTGGTGGTGGTGGCACTGCTAATAATGTTTGTAAATCAGGTGGTGGCATCATTATAGGTGGAGCCATAGCTGGTGGTGGAACTTTGGCTTGATGTTGTTGTTGACTAGGCCATGGTTGAGTTGGAGGTGGCCACATTCCTGAAACAGTAGTAGCAGCTGGACCACCAGTCACAGGAATGGGTGGTGGACCTTGTTGCCAAGGAGGAGGCATAGATGTTGGTTGATTTGGAGGAGGTGGAGGAGGAGGCATGGCCCAAGGCATTTGCTGTTGAAAATTTTGATTGCTTCCTGGAAGAGGTGGAGGAATATTTGGATACTGCTGGTTAGCAGGTGGTGGCATTTGCCAAGGTGGCGGTACATTCATTCCAGGAGGTGGCATTGCAGCACCATTCATTGGTTGATTTGTCCACGGAGGAGGAGGTAAGGAGTTTGGAATAGATTGTTGTGGTGGTGGTAAAGACATGAGAGACTTTAAAGGTTGAGGTTTATTGAACAGTCCTCCAGTATTAACATTACTACTGGCAGGCCGCATAGAAATATCATCACTTTGCTTTGGTGGTGGTGGTCCTTCACCTAATTCCGCCATAAGAGACATGTATTCTTCATCAATTTTAGTTTTTTCTTGGCTAGCAGGGAAACTAGCACCTCCTGTAGATTTCATTCTACAGTCTTTTGCTATGTGTCCGGCTCCTCCACATTGAGTACATAATATACTATTAGTTATATTTGGTTTATCTTGACACTAAAATAAAATTAATTGTATTCATTAAGATAAGTATCAATAGCAAATTATACAAAAAATATAATAAAAGATACAGTATTTTATAAAAGGGCGAAAAGAAAAGTGAGGCTAATTACATAATGAGAATTGATCACTTGTGGATAATATTAATTAAAATTAAAAATATATTAAAAATATTAATTTAAAACTAAAAAAATATTAAAAATACATCAAATAAAATATTTTGGAACAATGTTATTATCATTAGCGCTCAATACATACTGGCTACCTAGTTTATCTAATTATTTTCTCTTAAATTAAAAACATAAATTTTTTTATAAAATTATTTGACAGAATATTATATAGCAGAAACAACTATATATAGATGCAATAAACAATTTGTTTGATAATTTGCTATAGTCATTAAAAAAAGTAAGCCTTCTTTTGTTAAATTTAAATAAAAAAATGATTTGTCTTTTGCTTCTTCTGAAAATTTTTATTAGTCTGTTTTGCAGAGAGTCTATCAAATTTTAAATATAAGCTAATAACACTAAACTTTATCATACTCAAAAAGTATTTGAAAACTAGAATTGCTAAAATATGATTATTAAATTTTTTTCTTTTTAGTCATTGTAAAGGATGATCAATTTATCATAAAACACATAATTACCCGTAAAATAAATACAATACTGAAAAAACAATTTTTGATTGCTTTTAGTTACTAATAATTCATGATTTAACAACTAATAATTACTTTTTAGAATCATCCCTTATAACTTATAGGGATATAAACTTTATTTTTGTTTAATGACAACATATATATAATTAACTAGCTTATAAAATAGGAAATAATCTAATTAAGAAAATTAACAAAAGGTATTAATAATTTTAAGTGATGATTGGAAATGAGCAGTAAGTGTTGCTATTTTAATCACTTATCATTTTCCGGACATATTCTTCGTCTCACTTATGTATAAAAATGAGAATGACATCCCAAGTACCAGTTCAAAAGTTGTTATCGACCAGTCATTTTTTTAATTAGATAATTTTCTATTTTATAAGCAAATTAAATACATATGTTACCACTTAAAAAAAAAAGTTGACACTTCTATACTTTAAAAGGGATGATCCTAAAAAATAATTAATAGCTAATAAATCAAGAAATATATGTAACCAAAAGAAATCAAAAAAATTTTTTTTTCATTATTATATTTATTTTCAAGTAATTGAATATGTTTTTTGGTAGATATGATTTAAAAATGTTTGATGTTTTTCAAGCTTTAAGGTGATTATATAATTATATAATATCAATATAATTATATATCAATAACACTAATTTACCATCCAAGATTTATGATCAGCAGCACCACAATTTGTACATCTGGGCCCATCATTTTCTCTTAAGGTACCATTTAAAAGAGCAAGTTCTCTAAGTTGCATTCGTCGTAAATCATTTTGTCCTTCAGGAACTTCTACACCTTGTTTGATAATTTCTTTGATCTAAAAAAATAAATAACATGAATAGATTGAAAAAAAAGAATGCAGTTTTAATTGTATTACTTTATTAACAGCTTTTTGAACATATTCTGGATTATTACCAGTTACATATGCATGAAGAGGTTCATCTTCTCCTGGTAAGGGTTGTCCATCTTTACGAGCTACTTTACCTTCTTTAACTGAACCTTTTCCTCGAATAATTATTTTAGCCCCTGTTTCTTTTTCCATTGCTAAACATTATAATAATTTTAAAACTAGTCAATACAAGTAATGAACAAATATAAAATCTCAAAACATATATTTTACATACATTTTAAAGTATTTCCTCGAGGTCCAATAAGCAGACCAACAAAATTTATATCAGGATGTTCATCTTGAGGAATCATTACTTTATCACTAACACGGATAACAGGAGGTCTATAATAAAAATAACATAACATTAATATAACATCAAAAAATTATTTATTGTGTAAAATAAATAAATACTTGTAATCAGCGGGAGGTTTAAAAGTAGGATTCACCGTAGCCATTCTTTGTATTAATCTGTGTCGTTCTTCTTCAAGTTTTTTACGAGTTCGATACTCTCTAGTATTCATTCTTTTACCATCACTACTATAAATAGGCTCAGGAGATGGCGATCTGAAACAACATTTATAATACTTCTTTGGTATCCAAAAATTTGTTTAAAACATTTAGATATTAATTATTTTGATGGTCATTATATTATTATTAAAATTTATTATATTTAAGTCCACTGAAAAATATTAAACAATTTTAATAATAAAATTAAAGCAAAATTCATAAATGAAACTGGCTATATTAGTAAAATGGTTTAATTAAGGTAAATTATAACATCGTTGAAACCTGTTTGAAAAAAATTAATTAGTTTTATCTATATACATTTAAGAGCAGCCAATATAACCTATAATATATGTTATCAAATAATTTTAACAAAATAATATTAAGAATATTAATAAGACTGACATAAATATTATTAAAATTATTTATATGGTTACATCAGGTAACCTTAAATGTTTTACTTTAAAAAATTTAAACAAATTTAATACGTATAAATTTATATGTTTTAGCAGTTTAAATGTCAACTTGTCACTATTTGAATAAATAATACAAAAAATAATTAAACCAAATTTAAGAACTTAGACCTAATATATTATCTGTAAAATTTTTTCAGTGTATTTCTTCTACTGAAAATAAAACAAATATTATTATAAAAATCAATACTACGACTTGATCAAATCCATATGATAAATCGAGAGTTGAAAATGTTAAATATTTAGAAGATGGATTTCCAAATTAGTCAAACCTTTCTTCTGGATTAGATGGTATGCCCAGCTCTCCAGTTCTCAGCTTACGTCCAATCTCTTCAATCTGTAGTTGTACTGTAATGTAAACGGGTTAGAACAGGGCAAAAACGCCCAAAAATTAGTATGAAAATAAAATATAAGACATACAAAATTATTAATACTAAAATATTTCAAAATATACCTTTGTTCAAAAATTTATCAATATGTAATATACTAGTACACCCTATTAATATAATATCATTACACAGATTACAACATATCTCCAAAAGGTTAATTTTTTCGGGATAATAAAATTCAAAACCATTGTTGAAAAAATATTATTCAGTTTTATATAACTGACATTTTGTTGACTTGTGTAATTGTAAGAATGCAAAGTTCTTATATTGTGGTGTGGTTCTTTTTTCCTGCTTAATTTGATGAGGAAATGATATTTTCAGCTGTTTTTTTTTTTGAGGTATCATTAGAATTAGACATATATATATATTAACCATAATTTTTTACTATATATTTTTACACTGAATTATTAAGTTTTTTTCATAGAATTGATGTTACAATGATATAACTCTCACACTTAGAAGTTATAACTTAAGTTTAAGTAACTCTAAAGTTACATGGTTTAAATAGAAAATTCAACAAAAATAATTAGATGAAATTGTTTGAAAAAATTTATTTTTCATTTGGTTGTAATGATCTGATCCATATGACCATATATAGTATTACTAATGCCATAGTATTTTATTTCAGCCTTAGATATTAATTGTACTATGGATTTAAATTTAGTATACAGTATCCCACTAAGCTTTGATATATCTATTAACTTTTATCCGACAAATATTTTGCATTTCATTTTTCTTTAAATTAATTATTACAGCTTTGGACTACATTAAAAGCATTTTTTTATTTTTCCCTAACAAAAAATAAATTAAATTAATTTTTTTTTTTTTTTTACAAAAAATTTTCTTGGATTATTAACGACTTTTTGACAAAGTTTTGTGAAAGTTTATAGTAAACAAAATTGAATATGTTGCCATAATTTTTAACTCAATTGCAAGTTTGAAATTGACATCATTAAATATAAAAACTTGTATGAGAATTAAAAAAATAGTATTTTTAAGATTAATATGCAGTCAGGAAGTTTTATAATTGCTATTTACAGTATTAAAAAAAGCATAAAAATTTAAATAGATTCAACTTTCTATGCTATATCAATTTGATTTATAAAATATTTTTGAAAATCAGTGTACTCCCCTTGTCATGTATTTTAAAATAAAATAAAATACAAAACCCAGAATTTTAACACAAAAATATATATTTTTGAATACAGTAGTCATTCTCACCATTATTCAATCCAGAAGTTAAATTTTTTTTTTCAAATTAAAGTATATTACATAAGCTTTAATTAAGATATACATAAAAGTGCCAATATTTCTGGAACACTTACAAAAATAAATTGAAAATGTCCTAGTTTCAATACGCATGTTTTAAGTTTTGACCCCCCTTGTATAAATGGGTATGATCCGATTTAAAAAAGGTGTGTCAGATAAAAGGGGTATTTGTAATTATATTTGTATAAATTTGTAATTTTTTGGGAGATTTCCCCCGTTTACAAGGAACAAGGAAATTCTTTTTGATTTTTGTGGGTAATGTCTTCGACTAGATACGATTTGTGATCTTTTGACGTATTGTTCATCAAAATCGGTCCAGCAAGAGCTGAGATTGAGCGTTCACAGACACACAAAAAAAAACACATCATAGTAAAATTAATACCTTCTCAGCTTCGCATCGAAGCTAAAATAAAAAGTGGTATCAAAATATATCAGTATTAAAATATGTTGATCATACATAACAATTGGACAATTTTTTAAATTCTTGTTTTATAAATACATACCATAATAACAACAAGCATTTGATCATCAGAATTTGCTTGTTTTTAAATTAATACCTATTTAGTATCTAAAGGAATTTTAATTTGTAATTGTTGAATTCATCTTTAAAAAAAATATAGAGCATACACTAAGATATATATATACAAAATAATTTGACAACTTAAGTATATAAAAATTTAAACGTAAAAAAAATACTTACAAATATAAGCCTCCTCTTGCTCTTTGGTAAGATTGTGTGGAAGTACTGTAGGCATTCCAGGAATAAATGTTTTCTCCAATTCACTACCACCCCATCGAGATTTCTTTTTTTTTTTGCGATCATTACTTTCACTGCCTAAATTTAAATTAATAGTGTCAGAAAGTGTATTTTTTAAAAATATAATGAATAACAAAATAATAATAAAATCATAAGAGCTGATATAATTTTGAACTTTTATATAATAATAAATATTAATGATCAATTTGTTTAGTGCTGATTTTGATAACTTGAATGTCAAATACATATTTGTGGTTTTTTATTTGAAATATTTTTGAGACTTTTAAAGTTAAGTATTAATGTATCTTAATTTTTATTTTATTATTTTTTTTTTATTTTATATAAAAATCTATATTTAACATTTAGTTTTTTGCACATTATTTTAAGAATTTAATGAAATTGAATTATCAAATGCTTATGATACAACAGTATTAATTCTATAACTAATTAATATAAAGTTGCATTTCTTTATGTTTAATTAATAAAGTTAATAACTTTACTTGGAGTTTATATTTCGGATTCAATTTCTTTAAAGATACATACAATACTAGTTTTTTTTATAGCTTTTAAATAATATTAGTTTAATTGTTAAAACAAAACAATTAAAATAAAAAATTTTTCTTAATTAAAAAAACTTATTACTTACTAGATGATTCACGTTTTGAACTATCGCCATTGTGAGACTGTGAAAACATACTCATATAATTATTGACGCTCATGTTAGAGCTCATTTCGAATACGTCCAAATTAACAGTTTTTAAAAGAATATAATTTGTTTTAGAATAACTTTATCAGCTGTTCATTCAATATGAAATTAATTAAAGTAATTAAGATTACTTAAATGAAGCATCTAAAAAGAAATTAATTCCCTTAAACATTGTAATTATTTTCTGTTTAATCACAATAATAATGGCTGACGCCTATAGTTTAAGGTGATTTTTTGACCATAATTTATTATTTTTTCCATGAGCTAACCTTATAATTTTATCAGCAAACTTATCATGCTTGTATTAATATTTGGGTAAACGGGACTACTGTATGAGAGTATTGGACAGTTTAAAAATTGAAGTCGCGTGTGTAATGTTTACAGAAATTCACTTAGTTTATATAAATTTATCTTTACTAATTTTTTAGTAAAAATGTCATTTTTCATAAGAAAAAATGTTACAAAGCGTAAAAAGCCACCTGTGAGGGTTAATAACAATAATATAAAAAAAAAGAAAACTCGAAACCACGTCGACGATGAAATCTCATCGGAATCAAGTGAATCCGAACATGATGAACATTTTTCATCAGAGTCTGATAGTGAACGACAATTGACAGCTGCCGAAAAAAAAGTTCAACTTGCTAAAAAATATTTGAGTGAAATTGAAGAAGAGGAACGTCGTCGATTAGAAGATGACAATGAGGAACAAGTAAATAAAAGTGTATTAAAACGATTAAAAGACGATGTTCTTGAACAAAAAGGAAAATTAAAAATTAAAGTAGCTGACGGTCTATCATTTCCAACTGATATATTTGAATTAAGAAGTAAAAAACATACAAAAGCAATTACATGTCTTGTTATATCCCCAAATGATAAATTCGCATACTCAGCTTCAAAAGATGCTACTTTAGTACAATGGGATCTCCAAGAATTTAAAGCTAAAAATGTCTTAATTCATAACCGTAAAAAACCTCAAGATAATCAGACTCATCATAACTGTCCAATATTATCACTTGCTGTATCCGAGAATTATTTAGTATCTGGTGACAATTCAGGTCTTATAATAGTTAGAAATCCAATAACTTTAGACTATATTGGTAAACTAACTGGTCATAAAGGCTGTGTAACTGGTTTAACGATTTGTAATGAGACACAACAGCTATTTAGTTGTTCAAAAGATAAAAGTCTAAAAGTATGGAATCTTGTTGACTTATGCTATGTAGAAACTCTCTTTGGTCATCAAACTGAAGTGACTAGTATTGATATGTTACAAAAAGATCGTGTCATTTCAGCAGGAGGCATGGAAAATATTATTCGTGTATGGAAAATACAAGAAGAAACACAATTGATATTTAATGGTGTTGGAGGCTCTATAGACACAGTAAAAAAAATTGATAATGCTCACTTCATTACTGGGGGTGACAATGGTATACTTAGTATCTGGGGCTCATTAAAGAAAAAACCATTTTGTAATGTTAATAATGCCCATGGTGTTAGTAGCAACAATGGAGAACCAAACTGGATATCTGCTGTAGGAGCTCTGGCAAATTCAGATTTGGTTGTATCAGGAAGCTATGATGGAACTATCAAATTTTGGAGGTGTTCTAACAATTTTAAGACATTGCTACCACTATTTAATGTTTCTATTCAAGGTTTTGTAAATAGTTTAGTATTTACTAATGATGGTAGTAAATTAATTGTAGCCATTGGTAATGAACATAGATATGGAAGATGGCATAGTGTAACAGGTGTAAAGAATAGTTTACATGTTATTAAATTGAACTTTATTAAAAACTAATTTTTTTTTACAGTATTTAATGGTTTATTTATTTTCTATTTCTCAATCATACATAATTATAAAACTTTGCTTTTAGATAATTGTTGTAATTGTCCATAAACTTTAGAAGGTGGCGATCCAAGAATGAGATTACAAATAGCTCGCATAGCTACTTGAATATTTTGAAAAGAACCTAAAATATGTACTTTTGAATCAGCCAATACAATCCTGGTTTTTGTGACATTTTCAATAGTAAATTTTGTACGTCCTCCTTTTCCTGCTAATCTTCCAATAGCACGTGATAAATGATCACCTTTTAGAGTTTTGACATCTTTTACCTACAATATTTACATCATCATGTTATAAAATGTAATGTTGATATAATTACATCAAAACAAATTAATACCATTTAAAAATTTAAATTTAGATTAAAAATGTTAGAAAAAGAGAGAAGATAAATAAAATAAGCTATCAAGAATAAGATAAATAATATTAATTTCTTGAGTTTTAAATTGTGACTAGCCATTAATAATTCATCAATCAAATTAATTATTTTTTTATTTAATATAAATATTTAAACACATTTTTAAAGACTTACATAATTTAAAAATTTTAAGTATAAGTTCTCAGTTCTAATAATGTACTTCAATGATTTGAATCTTATCAATTAAGCACAAGCAGGATAATGTGATATGTTATATATAATGTACTTAAACTACTTAATAATTGTACCTTTTTTTATTTTAAATATGTTCAAAGAGATAAATTATTTATCTTTTTAGACTTATTTAAAATTAAAAGACGTTTAAATTACCTCAAATGATTCAACAAACAGATTGTCCAGCCTTATCAATGCTAATGCATCTTCTACATCAAATCCATATACAAATGCACGAACAAAATCTGCTGCTTTTTGTAAATGTTGGGAGCCTATAGTATCTTCTGGAAGTGGATTTCTGATTTCAACATTTTTTGATTTTATATTAAATCTGACATCCAACTTGAGATGTTCAACGATAGGAGTATAAATTTTCAACCAGTGTTCTTTAAGTGGAGTAAGGCGATGCGATGGCACGGGAATTTTACGAATTTCTCGGTCATCAGACAACTTCTTCGAGGATTGTATCTTTTTCAAAGGCCTTTTATGTACAATTGACATATTGCTAAATTTGAAAACACTAAAATTAATGAAATAGTGTAGATAAACCAAAAAATTACTACCAAAAATGTACACACGTGTTGTAACCAACGTGATAATAGTAAATGATACTGATAATAATATTTATATTGGAACTATTTATTCCAAGAAATATTCTATCATTTTAACATGTGCAGTAACAATGATAAGATCCGTTTAATGACTTGTTGCCATGAATTTGAATATTGTAACTTACATTATTAATTAATATTCTTATAATCATGACGTAAATGTTTATTATTCATTGTTCTCTAAATTAATAAATAATTATTTGACTAAGGCTTCGTCATTCTGTAATCAAACAGTAATTTAATTTTTTTTATTATATTTAAATAACACATTTATTTTTATTATTTTAACATTTTATAACTTTATAACAATTTACTTTTAATTAATCATGAATTTTGCTAATAATAAAGTCTTTTCTTTATCGAAGAAATTGTGTAGTTGTCTTTATAGGTATTCATCACATTTTGTATACCACCCTGAAAAAAATGGCAATGAATTTGGTAAGGTGTGCAGAAATTAAAGTGTTACCATTCATTGTTTATAAGTTTTATTTAAGTGTATTTAAAAAATTCTTAGGAAAAGTAACTGAGCAAAATATGTACCAAGCTATTAACAGTGCTATTGATATAGTGTTAAGCAAAGATCCCAATTCTGGTAATTCATTTATATTATTTAATTGTTAGTTTGTATTTATTAACATTTTTCACAAATTAATTTTTAAAGTTTCTATGTTTTTACATTACTTAGATGGATTTATAAATATGTTCCTATATAATTATAGGAACAAACTATTTAAAATATTTTCGTGCAGCAGTCAATTTACCATTTTGTTTATACATAAAATATTTATATAAGTTTTGCTTAATTATAGTTGTATTTGGTGAAGATGTTGGATTCGGTGGAGTATTTAGATGTACCAATGGCTTACGTGAACGTTATGGAAAAGAACGAGTTTTTAATACCCCCCTATGTGAACAAGGCATTGTAGGATTTGGAATTGGTCTAGCTGTAGCTGGTACAACTGCTATAGCAGAAATTCAGTTTGCTGATTATATGTATCCCGCATTTGATCAAGTAATAATTATAATTTTTTCTAGTTAATAATGTGATTATTAACTCTTTTCATAAAAATTACATGTTATGTTTTATATCTATAGCTTGTCAATGAAGCTGCAAAGTACCGTTACCGTTCTGGTAATTTGTTCGACTGTGGTAAACTAACTATACGAACTCCGTGTTCTGCAGTTGGCCATGGTGCTCTATATCATTCTCAAAGTCCAGAAAGTTTTTATGCTCATGCTCCAGGTCTTAAAGTAAGGAAAACTTTAATATTTAATGTATATATGAAAAATTTGTTTTATGTTTTTATAGTGCTGTAGAATTTGTTTCTTTTAATAATTCTTTTATGATTGACCTTAATTTAAAAAATGTATACACATTTTCATTAGGGCCATTAGTAATTATGGTAAATTTTTAAAAGTACTTATAAACTAGTATTTTGTAAAAAAAATAAGCATGTACCACAGAAGTTGAAAATAGCTATTGGATATCAACGTTTTCAGTAATAAAAGCACTTATTTTTTCATTTGGTAATATTTAGCTGAAAATATTTTAGTTTAAGTTAAAACACTTAACAATTTTAATGTCTTGTGTTAAAATTGGATACCAACATGTTCATTTTTGTACAAGAACAAATTCACTTTTATTTTTTGTTCTTTTTAAAAATATTGATGAATATATTTTTATTTAATAATTTATTTTAGCTATTTGATTTTTATTATCATAAGTTATAACATACTTATGTTTACAATTTATTTTTCAAATTTTAGATAGTCATGCCTCGAAGTGCTATGAAATCTAAGGGTTTACTTCTGTCATGTATCCGGGATCCGAACCCTTGTATATTCTTTGAGCCCAAAATTATGTACCGAATTGCTGTTGATAATGTGCCTGAAAATGACTATGAATTGCCTTTAGAAAAAGCTGATGTTCTAGTTGAAGGAAAAGATGTTACATTGATTGGTTGGGGAACACAAGTTCATGTCTTACTCGAAGTTGCTGAAATAGCTCTTGAAAAGTTCAGTATTTCATGTGAAGTTATTGATTTAGTAACAATATTACCATGGGACAAACATACAATTGTTAATGTAAACTAATTTTTAACTAGTCTACTTAGTTGACATTTTACTAATTTACAATTAATTAAAATATTTGTTATAGTCAGTTAAGAAAACGGGCCGTGCAATTGTGTCTCATGAAGCTCCCTTAACTGGTGGATTTGGTGCTGAAATAGCTGCTTCAATTCAAGTAATATATTACAATTTACCAGTTCTATAAAATTCAGTTTTAATTCGCAATAATATTATCTTTAGGAAGAATGTTTTCTTCATCTTGAATCTCCGATTCGCCGTGTAACTGGATATGATACACCATTTCCTCATGTATATGAACCATTTTATTTACCAAATAAATGGAAGTGTCTGCAGGCTGTAAAAGAAGTAGTCAATTATTAAATTCCCTTACTATTAAATTGTGTTTTTAAATTTACTTTCTTAATAATTTATTCTTTTTACTCTCAATTAATGATATGCTTTATTTGTAAAAAAAAATGTTGTTTAATAAATTTGTATGTAAATTTTTCTTAATGGATAAATATTGATTAGTATTTGATACTGTGTTACATTTAGATATTCTCTTTTTGTTATGTTCATTTTTTCTCTAAAAATATTTACCATTGTTTTATAAATACTATTAATTTTTTAAGATTAGTATTTTTTAAACTAATTTATATATTTTATCATTAAATTGCATTAATTACTCTGTATATTATTAGACTTTTTTTCTGTATTTATTTCATTCAAATATTAGAATAATTTGTTGAATAATTACTATGAATCTTTTATGACATTTTTATTTTATCTATTTTGAATTATTATACGACAATTAAATGTTTATTTTTTATATTTGTTATTTATTAATAAATTTTTTATAAATATAGTATTTGTTAATGAAAAAATAAAATGTTTAATTGTTATATTTTAAATTGTATTTTATTGGTAATCTTTAATTTATATTATTAATTTAACTTATCAAACTTATAACTATGTAATTACCAGAGAAATAATCGCTACTTAAAGACCGAATATGTTACAACATTAATGATTATTCATTAAATTTTGTGTTGTCTAATTTTATTGAAGTTATCAAAATAATTAATATCAGATATTATTATTATTATATATGATCTGTATTACACGTTTATACAGAATGAATTAACATAGTATTTATCACTCTGTACGTTATACAATTGGTGGTATAACCATTTGTGTTATGTTACTTGTGTTATAATATGTACCCATTATTAAGTAGAGATGAAAATAAGATATCTTCTATACAGCGTGATGTTAATAGTAGCGAGTTCTCGTTGAATGGTTCGCTTTAACACGTTTTGTCGAATAAACTATACTATAAACCACAAAATAATATCAAATATTTGATCTCATTTTGTGGTGGATCAAGATATGTAGTCCAAATTAATATTAATTTGGATCACGCCGCGAATTTAAAAAAAACATTTGAAATGTGTTACTTAAAGAAAAATAGCGTTCTATTTCTTTGAAACAATAGGAGAAAACGTTTTGTTAATTAATTTTTAAAAGTAGAAGTAGTAATAACGGGTTACAATGAGTGTATAGCATCTGATTATTTTGAAAAAAAGTTTTTAATTCTGAGGTATCTATTTTATAATAGGTACTTAAATATTTTTAATCCACACTCATAAATAATTTGAAATTTCGAATATGGCGAGCGATGATTTTTAAAATATATTTTGAACGAAAGCTCAAAGGTAACTACACTAAATAATTATTTATCATTGATGGAACACGCTACGATAGTAATGAATGGGATCGATACGTGATAAAAAGTTAAGAGGATGACGAAAGTGACCGTTCCTATTTAGTGGCGGTAATAGTAGTTTAATGTTTGTAGTAGTATTTTTAGTCGTAGTAATAATAATACACAGCCAAGCGAATTCTAACAGACACTCTGGAGTTGTGGCAAAATTAGTAATAAGTACTTTAGAATGGGTAAACCGGATATGCTTGTGGCGAACAAAAAACCTTCGTCATCGTCCTCCTATAAAAGGGTTTAGGACTTTCATTATTGTTACATTTTATCGGCGAAGGTCATTGTCGAGGCTAAGCGTATGAGCTTTATTATATTTTAATTATGTATACATTTGTACATTGAAATTCCTATATGGACCGTCAAAGACGTTACGTTATAGTTCATACACGTTCACGGTCCTTGTCACGACGCAACGTTCGGTCCTCCGCATGCCATTCATCACCATAAATATCAAATAAAATCTTAATCTTTTTAAAAAATAATCAAGTATAAAGTGAACCTAATAATAATAATAATAATTAATCACTTCACAATTGACAAAATGATAATTGTTATGGGCATTTTCGACCATAATTGAAAGGGACTGAAATTTATTTATCTGTAGGGCCGTCTATACTGTAATTGTTTAAATACACCACTCCTGTCAATAAATTGTATTCATTTAATGTGTATGATTTTCTCTGTTATTATAGAAATTATAATTTGATTCAATCTGTTACATAAGAAAAATAAACATAATTTATGGTAATGTTTGCATAATTTTGAAACAACAGAGAGAAGAACCTCTTAGTGGAGATACTCAAACATAACGAGTTTATATAAAATACTAGAACGTAAATTAGTATTTATTAAAGACCTCGAGGTATCTACGATTAGTTTTGTTAGGTTAAAGGGTATAAGTTAACGTACATTTAGAGCACATTAATTAAGCTGGTCGTGACAGCACATTTTTTTCGAAATTTCCTGATATTGTGCTAGAGGAATCGGTGATAATCAATTTAAATGTTAAAAGTCAACCTGTAAAATCTAAACATCTCCATTTGTTTCTGATTAAAACACATTTCCCAACCTTTACAACTGAAACTAAAAAATAATTTGTAGCATTAATCAATGTACAAAAATGTAGAAGTAGGTTAGATTAGAAAAAAATAAATTAAGAACTAATCAACAGTTTTGTATTATGGTGAATATAATTTATTTTTAACAAACAAGATTATTTTCTTTACGCAATTTTAGTCCTTGGTTCAGTAGCATACTTGAAGCTGTAAGTGGATGTTAACAGATATTTTTTCGAAAATACATTTTGTTGCATGAATAGTAGTATTGTAAAAACATTACATAAGTCTGAAATGGGTTTCGTCTCGTGATTATGGGAATAATAAATCGATAAAGGTTTTATTGAAGAATTTACCATTAAATACTACTCAGTTACAAAAGTAGCATTCCCGAACAATTTCAAAAATATCAATTGACACATTTATATCCACTGACTGCTTCATTTATGAGCTGATTGTGAAAAGAGGGAGTATTGTGAACAGGAGTGTGTATGCTTTTTTTAAGCCGTCTTATTGAAATTTGAATATTTTAATGGAAAAATTCATGCCCTCGGCACAAAGAATAATCATTAAAATGAAATATTTTTTTTTATTTCAACTTAATCTTTTAACGTCTCCTTGCCATTGATTTTGCCTTGAGACTTTCTCGCTGCAAATGTAGTTTTTCAATTGCAGTTTTTATAAAAGTAACGCCTATTGAAAACAAAAACGCGTGTTACATTTAAACATTTAGAGGGCGGAATCAAATGGAATTGATTTCAATTTCATCGGTTGATTTCTACTCGATTGCGAATACATTGTTTTGAGGTTAGGGTTTTTTAACCAAACCATCACACGAAACCGATAAATGAAAACCGATTTGATTTCCGAACAAACGGTTGCTGTTTGTCGTCGACCGGCGGTGGGTACCGAGTAGAAATGTGTACTTCGTCGACCTTGTTTCCAGATAAACAGCGAGTGTTGCAAGGACGTCGACAAAGCTCGAGAGGAGACCGGGCTGGCTCTTTGGTTGCCGCCGGTAAGTTACAAATCTCGAACACATCACACAGCAGTAATACACAAGTGTCATAATTAACTACGCCCATTATAACATTGCGGAATTGGGTCACCGTTACAACCGCGTTGGTACCACCACGTGTAGAGTGTTGCACTTTCAGTTTTCAATCGAAACCGGTTTTTTCGCGCCAATTACACTTCCCTTGGACGTCGAACTCATAACGAAAAATGTGTCCGACGGCTCAGATGAAATTCGCCTTGGCGATACTAAAATACCAATCGACAACGGCTAACTAAAAATGTAGAAACATTTTCATCGGCCAAAAACACCAACGACGTCCTGATTATTCGATAGAAAGTAGTTGTATTTTACATTCGTAGCAAACAAACACGAATGTTTCAACATTCTTCGGGTTGTTTTTAATAAAAACAGTTTTTCGTAATTACCCGCAAACTGTTTATTTACTTTACCGCGTGTCGCAGCCGCCAGTTAATTAAAACAAACACCGACCGAGTAACTCAAACCCTTTACAGGCGTGTGCGGCAATCGTAATGCGAACGAGCCACTCGATAAATGGCTGTAAAATATATTATTTACGCTTATTACCGGTAACGTATACGAGCTTTTCAATCGATACGGGTCAAGTAAATATTTTATATCGATTCGGTAAACACGTTTTTTTTAAGTCGAGTTTCTCAAAACAAACCTTGGAAAATTATTATTTAAATATTTTATACGGACTATAATGAAATGTCAGAATTCCTAAAGCCTCGTTTCAATTAATCGCATACAGTTTTGGTCGACATTTCATTTATATTTACTGTGAACTTTTAAGATATGTTATAATGAAATCAGTTTAGTTGTTTTATTCAAATCTACGTTAGTTTAGTATTACAAAACCGAATAGTAAATCAACAAAACAAGTAATGATCACACGATTACTAAACACAGACAAAAATAAAACTTGCATATTTTATTCAAATTTAACAATACTGATTCAAAACAACGGAAACTTTTTCTATTGGATTCTTCTACAATTTTGTACAAACAAATCTGTTTACGTGGTTTAAAAATATGACAAGAGACCGATAAAAATATGTATGATAATTTTAAATAAAAAATTTTAATTACAACTGAAAGTACTCATAATAATAGAATGTGAAAATTAGAAAATGTAAAAGCATAGTTATTTTTTAATAGGCTAATAAATATTGTATAATATTACACTGCGCACGATGTATGACCAGTGTACTAAAACGTTGATGATTATAAAAAAATACACTTGTATGAAAACCTAAGATCCAAACCAACTCTGTTTGATACATTCGGTTTATTACAAGTTGATGTACACGTGCCATGCGTTAGTGCATATAATGTTATGCAGAGTGTCAAACATTTTTTTACCGCTTAAATATAATTTATTGGTTAGACAGTATTTACCTGTATAAGACACGGCGAATTGTGAACTCTGACGAAAGTGACTCTTTCAACATTTTACACGTGTAAACTCCGACAAAAATGGCTTTTTTCAGATTTTATATTTGCAAACTACAGCTTAACTCATAAATTACATTTCACAAACTCCGACAACACACGAAATTTCCTAAATATCCAATTATCGATCGACACATTAACGATTGGCTGATGTGTAAAGGCGAATTTTAAATAATAACATTTTGTGTGATGTAAAAAAAAGGAATAATTCATAGTTTTTTTTACGATATTCTGACAAGTTTATTGGTTGTTCATAGGTTAAG